CTTCAAACACAGTGTTAAAACTGTGTTAAACAGTGGGGTAACATGTTTGAAATGACAGCACACTGCTGCTTGTTGGCAGGTAAACATTGTTTAATTGTTTAAGTGTTTTTAAATGTATGGAACAGTGTTTTGTCTCTTTCAAAACTCTCCCGTCATTGGCCGGATACATGGGGATGATTTTATATTCACTATGACCGTTACTATTCCAGTGAGACGAAGTACGTCCGGTGACGGGAGTGATCCCATGTTAATTTTGTCCAAAAACCAGAGCATTCCCTTATCTCAGGAAAGCCAAGATCTCCGAGTAGTTCTTTAACACAGTCTGGTGAGGTCCTGGCAGGTACTTCAGCACACCAGGGAAGGCATCATACAGCTGTTGATGGGACAAACTCTCAGATTAGTTATAGGTCTACAGCACAGTTTAGTTAAAGTAGATGAGAAATTACCTGAGTCTGAGGTAAGCCAGCTAACCTAATAGCCTCATTGTCCAAGTCCAGAATCCTGCGGAAGCTTTGATCGCTGTACTCAAAGCGATGTCCGAAGAGCACAGACGAGATGATGTTACACACTCCATTCGTTATGATGTTATGGGGGTTAAATGGCCTTCCTGGGAATATGTTGAATTAAAGTAATGATATATCATGTTAGGATATAAAATCACTCCACATAGCAATCTCTACTTGCCTTGTTCCTCTTTGAAAGCTTCACAGATGTAGGTGTTTTCCACCTCAATGTATTTTTCCAGGGACTTCTGGCCCTCTCCAAAGTAACGCAGGTGAGTGTTGGCAAACTTCCTTTGCTTTTTCCACAAGTACCCATTGCTCAAAGCTATACCTGTGGGACAGTTGTAGCAAATTAACAAAGCAAACAGGCAATTCACTGCCTTTACAGATTTTAGATATCACTTCTGAGCACCTTTCTTGAAAAGAAACACTTTCTTTCACTCCCTCAAGGTTCAAGGTTCTCCCTCAAGGCTCAGGAAGAAATCACTACGGATTATCAAAGACCCCCATCACCCCAGCCACAAACTGTTCTTTCTGTTGCCGTCTGGCAGACGTTACCGCAGCATCCTGGCAAGGACAAGAAGATTCGGAGACAGTTTTTTCCCGCGGGCAGTGAGACTGTTAAACAATTGAACTGTTGAAACAACTTCAAACATTCAACTGCTACTCAGTAGTATGTATCTAATACCTAATATATATATATCATTCCAATAACTTGTATATAGACTCATACTGCACTATTCCACATCATAACTTTATTTCATTTTTATAACTATTATTATTTTTGTATTGCTCATGCTCTTATTGTTATTATGTTATGTTATTATGTTGCATTGTTGGAGAAGCCTGTGACATAAGATTTTCAACTGCATAATTACTCTGTAGCTATGTCAGATTGACAATAAAGAACCTTGAACCCTAATCTGGTGTTGTGCAGTGTTGTTGTTGCACAGAGGGGAGAGTCTATTCTGCATGGACCACAGACTTTGTCCCATGTGAGTTGACTTACTGGGCTATGACTTTTGGTTAAATCTATCGATACTGCGTAAAGAGATTAAGTTCTGCCCTGGAGAAGGCAAACCACTACTGCAATACTTTTGCACCATTAAATATTCAGGCTTTCTCACTCTCGTTCAGGTATACTCACCAATCCCCTTAAAGACAGCATGGAAAAGAGGAATAATAGGTCTATCAATAAAGCTGTCCAGCTGGATAACAAGAGCCTCTTTGACCATCTTGTACCCGGAAACAAACACCATCCTCTGGCTGCCTATCCTCAAGCTGAACACTGGACCATACTCCTGAGAGAGCTGCATTCAAAAACAAAAGCATTTTTTTAGTTGCAAGCTTTTATTGTTTATTTATTGTTATTTCCAGCCTATAGTGTTGCAAAGGCTTATTTATGAAAGACACATTGCCTGTAGGATATTAAAGATAAACTTGTGTCCTCTAATCTGTTCACCTTACCTTCTCCATTGCTTTGAAGTCAAGTCCTATCAAGACATTTCCTAGAAAAGGCGCAGCCCATGGTCCAGGGGGAAAGCTGTTTGGTCTCCAGTTTCTGATCACATCTGTCAGGAGTAACACTATAAAACTGATCAACAGCCAACTAGTGAAGTCCATACACTCAAAAAGGGCTTGAAAAATCATGATGAAAATGTTTAAAAGGACCCTCTGTAAACTCAGTTTGCTCCTGCAGGCATGGTCCGTCTCATGTTATTTGGCTGCGGGTTGTACGAGGCAGAGGCGGAAAAATTCCCAACAAGGAAATGTTACGTAACACTGAGTGTCTCTCTGGACATCTTCCAGCAGGAGGATTGTATTTGTTTTGTTAGAAATTAAAATCAATGTTGATGTGGCGTAATTTGAATGAAATACACTATTTCATTTAAATCTGTTTTATTCTGAAAACCGAAGATTCACATGTGACTTCCGGTTTTTCCGCTGGTGAATTTCGTCATTTCCGGTTAGCATTAGCTTGTGGCGAAATGCTACGTTTTCAAACCGTGAATTGAAGGTGAAATAACGTGATGTTGTACACTAAACACCCTGAGTTTAACACTCATTTATTGACGCTGGAATGAGGTTTATTAGGGAATGTTTAGATGACCACAGACATCAGAGTGATGTAATTTAGCAGCAGAAACCGACAGGATTTGCATTGGACACGCCCCCGTCGACGCCGGCCAATAGGAGAAGACTACAGGTTTTGTTTATAGTGTTTCTTCGGCGCCGCCCGATTAATGTGAATATTAAAGACCTTTGGGAAGGCACTAGAGGTTATCTGGTTTACATTGGACTGGCTCCAAATAGTGTTAAGATCTCTGGGAGGTACGAGCCATGCTCTGTTTAGCACTGGACTGGGTCCGTTCATGTTAGTTTATATGTTTGATGTGTTAAACCGGCGTAGTCTCGTTTAATAAAGTATATTGTGTGGAGTTCTTAAGCCGAAAAGTATATTTTTGTGTGATGTTCTAAGCCGGAAAGATTGTGTACAAGATTGGTATAAGATCAGCTTTTAAGGTCAGCATCTATAGAATTTAGAGCTAAGATAAATGAAGTTTGTATTGGAGTGTTTCAAGCAGTGTGGTTTTCAATTGCATCAAATGTTCCCATTGTTCCCCTCCCCTTCCCCCAGTCACATGAGGTTAATGCTAAGCTAGTTAGCTAGCCAGTTGGCATTACTAGGTGATACAACTGGTAACTATTGGGATGGTGTAGATGAACATTGAGAGTAGATTAAGTTGTTTTTGTTTTTCATGCTTTTCAAAGAAAGTAATTTGAACTTTTTTTGGGTAAATAAACCGGAAGTAGGTTTATGAACTGGAAGTATTAGTTGATACATTTGAAAGGAGTTAAAAATAAAACAGCTCCCCTAGCGGACATAAGTGTTACAGTCAATACATTCTTCACCACACACAGATAAAGATTACATGTGGTTTCTCTGAATTGAAGTATTGTAGTTATGACATTTGCATAATTTCATAAACTTCAGAATACACTGTACACAGTTTATTTGAATTTTCATATTTTAAAGGTCAAAACCATACACTGTACATTTTTTATTTTTTAAATTTCTGATTTTAAAATTTGCATAATTTCTAATTTACTTTATTAATTTTTTAGCCCGCCAGCCGCTCCTCTCTTGTGCATCAGCCAACTGTATATAGACAGGCAGGCATTCAGGCAGGTAGTCAATATAATGCCGAGAGCCCGGGGGCCGGATCAGTTACTCTGACGGGCGGGGTGAGCTGAGGTCAGATGGACAGTGATCCCACACCTCGCCTGCCTCTGACAGCCAAACCCCTGAACTGCCCAAACCACACACACACACACACACAGTATACACCAGGGGTCGGCAACCCCTGGCACGCGTGCCACCAATGGCACGCGGCACCGTAACCAGTGGCACACTAGGAATAAGTGGAATAAGTGTACAAAATATTTATTTTATTTTCAGATCCTGAACGAGACCGCCGCCAGAGCGCGTCTCCCCGTTACCTGCAGAAGGAAGCCATGCGCGCAACGCAGCCCCACTCAAAAAGGCCGATCGCGAGATGTAACATACATGACACTTTTCTCTGTGTGCGGCAAAACAAGCTCGCCAAAATCGCTTCACCAGTCTGGCAGTATTTTAAGGTGTCCGAAAAAGACAATAAAATTGCGGTATGCAACGTGTGTGAAGCATAAATCCTGCAGCTCCACCCGCTGTGACGGACCGGTGAGCGGAGCAGAACACACAAGAGTTAGACCTAACCCACTTAGCTATTTGATCTACCTTTGGAACTAGTTATAAATATATTTATTCTTCACTGTCACTCATTACTGGATCAGTGAGCTGCATGAGATACTGACAGGCTGTCAGAGAGAGAGAGGGGGAGAGAGGAAAAGAGAGCGCTTCCGCTCATTTCCCCCGTGTTATTATCCAAAGTTAATGTAAACTTGAATAATATAGGCTACTTCATTTTAATGTAACAATTATGTTGGTTGTTGTTTGTGGAAGCGCCAGTGAATGAGCCCCATTAACTGAGTTTTAAACATCACTTTTCACGAGTGTTTTCGTCGAGCTCTTCAACACCCTCTTCCCCCCCCCCCCCCCCCCCGTTGATAATTCACGATCGTCGGCACGCTGATACATTTTTTTTTTTAGAATGGCACTTCATATCAAAAAGGTTGCCGACCCCTGGTATACACGCACACACAAGCCCATTACTGAAACAGACGATTGTCTCTCTCTCTCTCTTGCATATCAAGAGGCAGAGCAAAGAGGAGAACAGGATATGCCGAGCCCGTTAACATAAACAAACACGCCTTTATAGTTGCTGTGCACGCTGATTCGCCTCAGACAGACATGGATCAATAACTAACTTGATCAAAATATACTGCTCTGAGTCATTGGAGATAGCGGCTACACAAAGCAAATGGGGAAAAGTTACTACTACGTATGCCCCTTCTGCTTTTATACAGGAACTCGCACACGTTTCCCCATCATCTACAGTTCTGCCCCCCCTTTGCTGCGAATATAACCTAAAACAATGCTGCAAAATGTAGCAGAGTACATTAATGCAAATGCACGCAGTGAATCATTGATTAAAGAAAAGCTTTATGTTGGCACAGCAGAAAGTTTTGGGATGGCATTCATGGCTACCAAAGTGAGCTATCAAACAGATTCGGAAAGTGCTGAATAACTCTTTCAATAATTACAGTGCACTGAGCCTACCTTCAGCCCCAGACAGACAGACAGCCTAAAATTGCAGCGCCAGCGTCCACCGCTTTATCCTAATGGGCAGGAGAGTGCCAGCCTCTCCAAACCACAGAGACAAGAGTAAAAACACCACCCTGTCTCACCATCCCACGGCTGAACAGCCAGAAGCAACACAGGAGAGGAACACAAACTAAGGGTGCATGATCAAATACAGTTGAATTCAGAATGTCATCCTAAACAGATGCAGTAAAGCAGGCAGGAGCTTGGATTGAATTTCCCTGGGTGTGGGCCGGGGACTGACACAGGCTGTAAAAGCAGCTGACTTCCAAGCAGATGCAAATTCCCTGTACAAGAGCTGTGCTTCCCAACCAGCTGCCTTCATGTTGGGGTGAGTTCTAAGACAAGGTACACGCTAAAAAAAAAAGCACAATATCCCTTGGTAAAGATTAAATAGCTAACCTTTTCTGGTTCCAGCTTTCCAAAATGTGAATATTGTCATGTTGTCTTAGTCCTATAATAATATTGCATTGGAATGATCTGGGGCTTTTTGTGGTTGGTCATACACCACAAAACTTCTGATTTGGAGATTATTATTAATTTTTTTTTTTTTTTTTTAAATGGGGCATTATTTGTAGAAAAAAAAAATACCAAACATTGGATGGCTCCAGGTTCTTAAATGTGAAGATACACTGCTATTCCTCATGTTACGTTATATTACATTGATTATCCTTTGGATTTGAGCTAAGTGTCAGACTAAACAAGACATTTGATTATCATCTTGGCAAGTTACACATTTTATGCTGAAAATAATAAAAGCATTAGTTTTGCGAGGCTTCCATCCATAACCACTATAACATCTCACAGCTGCAAAGATGCACATGAACCCATGCTAAACTGAGTTAAAAGCCCAAATCATCAGCCCCTAGATGTAATAATCCAACAGCATATCACAACCTGCAACAGGGTGAAGCTGACACTACAGACAGCGAGGCTAGTTGTTGTTCACAGGGCTGTCATCTCAGATACAAATCAACATGTTGGCAAGAAGGCTAAGGTTGTTGTTGTCTTCTCAAGCTTTACAAGCTTGAGAAGAACTCATGTAGTTTAGAATAAAGCATTTATGGGGTTAGCTTTGATTCCCAATCTGTTGCGTTTTAAAACACTACAACAAATGTCCCCAAGTCAACCACTTGCTTTTCTCTCATGCCTGAAATAAACAACAACTGCAGCCCCCCATTGGGAATGACAGGCCCGCCTCAGTCATAAAAGCAGGCACTTTCAAGTTGGCTAAAGCAGAAGAGACAATATACAACGAACTAAAGCCACTCAGTGCACAATCAGATCATACAAATAATAAACCTTTGTGATTGGGCAAATACAATCTCATCACTATTTAACTATGAAACCTAATTCCTTGTCACACATCCTGCTAAATGTTGTAAATCATTAAGCTTTTGTACTACTGGTCATAAAACCCTGTACAGGCAATCCAGGATTTTGAAGCGAGACATGTCTTTGCATAATGCTTGTGGTTTCTTTTTTAACCCCCATATCCGATCCATTGAAACAGGTTCAAGGTTACAGGATGCAGTGAAATGACATAACTATTTTGGGGCCCTCTTATTGTTGCCTTGGCCTTTATGAATAGGAAAAGGAAGCGGGGGTGTTGACAACAGCAGTGTGCAGACACTGGCTGTGTTCCACTACAAAGGCCAGATCTGGCAAGTGTGTTGGGTATTTTCACCAAACCTGAAGGGCAGGCCAAATCGGTTTTTGTTCAATAATTCTGCCCCTAGACAATCTCTGTGTGGGGTCTCGAAGATAACAGCTGATTAAGTTGTTGATCACAACAGACGCTAATATACTTGATATGTTATAATAGTTCAGCCCTTCTACTGCACTTCCTCTCCTGAATCCCAAAACAAATCTAACAGGAATTTGGACCTCTCTGGGGCCTATGTGACCTAAAAAACAGTCACGGTGCAGAACAACACGCACTATAAATTACTTATGGGCAAACAAAAGGAACATACACTTGTTTAGCCATAGCCCATACACACCATACATTTTGTTTAACTATTATTTTTGCACATCTTGTCTGTTAGGGCTCCAAATATGTAAGGAAGTTTGTCCAGTCTCAACAAAACACAAGGGTTAGAAAGGCAAAATGATTCAAGATGTGAAAAGATTAAGCACATGATGGCTGACTGGAACCAGTTACTGATGATAATCTAAGTGCAAATACCTGATAGCAATAACATGTGTGGGATAATGGGGACAACCAACAACACAACAATTGAGTCCTTCAAACACAGCATCAGTGATCCTTAAATAAGCTATTGGAGTTGAGCCAGTGGGTGCAAAAAGGTGTGAGGGAAAGACCATTATTCATACTTGGTTTCACGAGAGAGTCACTGCTCCCCTACTCAAACTCTGCCCACAACACACTGCTTATTTAATGCAGACCCTGCCTCTGGATTTCCTTCCTTTTCTCGTGTTATGCTGCCAAATCGTGAAAGCCATCACTCCACGTGCAGGGATGCAAATGAAAACAGAGATGATGCTTATCTTGGAACACAAAATGGGATTTAGGTGTGCAGACAGGATGCCCTGGGTGCAATCTACTTCAATATTACATTTTCATATCCATAAAAAAATTAATCAGTGGTGTATGACATGCGGCTGATACATTTGAGCATTTATTTTTACACAAGACATAACCTTCTTGATGTCAAACAAACGGAATGCCAACATGACAATTCAGTGCATTTACATACGTTTTAACACCAGTTCAAGACACATGGGATACTTCAAACTCCCATGTGTCCAACACTATCAAACCTCGTGTTGTTTGGTTCCCTGTCAAGGAGCCCTATAGGTGGTCCCTGGACCCCACTTTTTGAACCATTGTCATGAGAGCTTCTGGTTGTTGACAAGACTCAGCTGGCACGGTTGTTAGTTGTATCGGGTTTAATTTATTGACTGTGCCCCTCAGCAAGCTGCAACCACCGTGCACCGCTATTGTTCTGTGTGGCTAAACGGGGCCTTTGGCTAAACCTGGGAGAATTCAGCGTGTTTGGTCACAGAGACAATTGGTATTATTAAAGCTCCACTTGATGCTTGGAAAACAACCCAACGGAGCTCACAACAACAACAACGGGGGGGGACTGCGTCGGGTCGATGATCGTGTTGCTTTTAAATCATACCGCATTTACCGACCACTGCAGTGCTGGCTGCTCTTCCACGGGAGTTTATTCTCCCGTTAGCTCCGGGTTAGCTCACACGGCTCTAAAGTATTCACTGTCTGACTGTCACACAAGCAGCTGATACATATCCCCAGTTCCCCTTAAGTGAATGTGTGTCAGTCTGAATTGACGCTGTTTGGCATCACAACGCTGTTATGAAAGTGTCTCTGATATAAAATGGGTGATGTTAGCATAGCAACCGAAGCTAAACTGACTACTTGCTAAGCCGTTTTCTACAGGCACATTTTACCGGCGTATTTTTCATTATGATTCTACTTGTGATAGTCGGACATGACAACCTGTGCAGCCCATGTATTGATTCCATCCGATAGCTGCTATAATAACAAACAAAACGTCTGCCTGCTCTCCACAATGATCAATAACAGCGAACGGATGGTCAAAGTAAGGTACAAATAAACAGAATCACACGAAGCCTGGTTAGTGTTGCCTGACTTTAAAAAGTGTGTTTTTTTTTTTTATAAGTGTGTGGTTGCCTTCTAGTCACTTTGCTCAGCGCTACTGCTTGTAGGCAGGCACGACGAGACTCTTCAGTCGACCCATGTTCAGGGGAGGTGGGTTTAGTTTCCTGCACGCCTCGACGTAAGAGAGACGTAAGCGACGCCGCCTCTAGCTCCGAAGCTCTTGCCTCTAGACCGACAATTTTTTGGAGCTGGAAGTGAACCGCATTCCGGAGCTATGAGGCGGCGCCGCTGCGGTGTGAACAGGAAAAACCGGTACTTTTCAGGCTCCAGCTCCGAGCCGGAGCTGAAAAAGCGCCGGTGTGAAAGGGGCATAGAAGGAGATTCAGGTGATAAGGTGGGCGGGTGTTACCTTGGTTGGTTATTGGCTAATGGTTACACAAGCCAACAAAACATGACATCACAAAGTGGCCAAAATCTGAGCAGCTCATTTTCAGACAGGTTTTTATATAAATGGATCAGGACAAAAAGTGAGCGAATCTTTTTTCCTGAAACTTTCAGAATCTCTTTACACATATTTATGTATGAAATACATTAAAAAGTGGATTTTGCATAATAGGTGACCTATAAATAATTACCAGTTTGTTTGAAATTGCATGGAGGGAGTTACAAGTCCTGAAAGGGCGTTTTGAGACGTGACTTTTAAAGAAGTTACAGAAATATTCAGATTTATTCAGTGAACAGCCAAACAAAGTCAGTTACTGAGACAACATACTGCGCAGCATTGACCTGATTTGTAATGTTTGAGCCATATAAACTTTGCGTATCACACACTGACAGGTGATGTAAGAGAAAAGCACAGCAAGAGCTCCCCTTAGTGCTAAAACCGTCAAACAGCAGGACAATCATCTGATGAAAAATAATACTTGCATGACAGTTAGCCGCCATGTGAGGCTGACAGTGCATAAATATGGCCTGAAGGCAAGGTTAGACCCAGGCCTTAATGGGGTAGTGCATAAGCTGGTGATGGATTGATGGGCAGACAGAGGGGTGTGTGTGAGGGAATGAGAGCAAAGGAGATCAAGAGCAAGACAAAATTGAAAGATAGATATTCACATATAAAGATAGGGAAACACGCATACAGAGACAGTATGACAGAAACAAAGAAAAGATCAAGAAGGAGCTAAATGACAGGCAGAAAAAAACATTTGGATGCTTTAAAATATATTGTGTGTTGCATTCTAGCCTTTATTTGAGGAAAATGCAGAATGAGAAATAGGGGTGGGTATGAAACAAAGATCCCAAGGCTACATTGAGTCAAACGGAGATTATTGAATGTGAATGTGTTGAGTGTCTGACCTCTGATGAGCTTGGCACTGGTGTCCTCATTGACCTTTGACACATTGATGATGGTGCGGGCCTGCTGGGCATAGCGCAGTGTGCTGAGGGTTTCCTCCACATTGCTGCCAGCTGGACTGATTGTGGCGATCATGGCCGTCTCAGAGTTACCACCAATGCTCTCTTTCAGCAGCCTGCGGAGGAGAAAAACGGGACTTGATCAGTTGATAGGTCTTCTTAACTACAGGAGGAATAGAAATGCAGAGAATCGACTAAGACATTCAAAGTATATTAACTATGAAGTAGTTCAGTATTTTCAGTCATATCAGCAAGTGGGCTGTGGCTCAGCTGGAAGGTAGACGACTCTCATTCGGAAGATCACTGGAAACTTTTTTTGTAGTAAAAGCATCAGCTAAATGTAATAATTACAAAAAACTAAACAGGTACAAACAGGGCAGCACGAGGTAGGATCACAGACAGGAACATTCATAGGAACGACGATGAACCGACAAGGAACAGCAAGACTAAATACACACAAGGGTAATCACAGGACAAGACGCAGGAAGTAAGACACCAGGAGAAAATAAATGTCAAAAATAAAACAGGAAACTAAACACAAAAACTAAGATCGTGATCTGATCCCTCACCATGTCAGGACAGACTCCCTGTACGGTATGGAGACCGTTTTCTGCGTCATTGACTGTTCTGATAGGGCAGAGATGACCTTTCCAAGGGTAAGCAGGGACTTGTTGATGCTAGCACCCTCCTACAACAACAAAATAACAGAACATTTTATTTTTAAATGCAAAAAGTATAACATGCAAGGGAGATTGTGGATCAAATTGCAAACAATTTAGTCTTAATAAAATGTTGTATTTTTCAAAATCTCAATTACCTATACAACTTGAGATTAACTGTTCTATTGATTCATTCAGCCTAAGTTATTGTTTAGGTTTTTCAAAGCTCAAATAATAACAAATATTTTGAGAGTCATATGGTATTTGATTATATTATCGAAGCAAAAGCTTGAAAAAAAACACCAATAATCAATAAAGAATTATATGAAATAGAGGAGCAAGAACCAATAATAACATTCTCGTGTGTGCGTGCATGTGTGTGTGTGTGTGTGTGTACCCTGAGTCGGTCTCCACTTGTCTTTGGAGAGTTACAGCGCGCGCTGCCTGCCAGGTCCACCAGGTTGATCCTGCTGGTGATGCTGTGGTCATGTTCCTCACCCTCCACAAACTCAGTCTGTACAAAGAACCCACATTCAAACTTATTTTTAGTGTCACACTTAGATTAAAAACATGACAGCCACAATTTATTAGTGCGTCACTGCAGAATTATGTACATATTTAAGAATTTGCTCGGCAACAGTCATTGTGTGCAATGTGAAAGCTTGAGAGGCCGTACCTGAGTCTGGGTCATGACCAGGGTGAGGACAGAGTGAGACCTTGAGCTCTTGTCATTCATTTCAGTGGCTGCTGTGGCTCTCTGCTTGTTTCCCAGCGCTAGCCAACCCTAAAAAGAGGAAATATGTGAATTACAACTGAATCTAAATGGTGTTACATCTACAGCATTTTTGTTTTCTATGCTAGGCCTTGGATACATTGTTGATCCTCAGCACTTCACTAAATCAGGGGCATGAACTGCACTTTCAAGAAAACTAATATTCAGTCAGACATTTAGGTCTGTATTTCATTCTGTCCTCTCAGTGTACTTAACACTGACTTTCTTACTTGTTCAAAGTTGTTTTTAAGAGCATCCGCTGAAGGCTGATTATATAAAAGAAGGAAATATCTCGACAGCCGTTTTAACTTACCTGAACGTCATTGTAGGAGCTCACAATGTTCCTGTAAAGAAAAAACAAAGTGAGCACTCCTGCGCATCAGACCATTCAAGAATGTTCTTTTTAGCCTTGAAGAGTAATGAAGCAAAATAAATTAAAAGGTTTCTTACGCAGAGAGGTCTGCAACGTAGGGACCATTGACTGGATGTTCCCTTGCCCTCAGCTGGAAACACACATGAACAGTGTTATCATGACAGGTTATTCAGTCTTACCAATGAACATAAGACCAATTAAACAGTACGTATTAAGAATTATGAGCAAGAGTGGATGTCTAAAATGTGTGACTATCAGATGTTTCATGCTATCTTTACAGAGAAGAGCAGATACAAATAACAGTAATTTTACAGTAACAGGCTATGTAGCTGTTTTTTCTGTAAATGTTGCAAACTACTTACGGGCATCCTTCTCTGGTTTGTTTGTTCTCTTGTCACCAGCAGGTCATGGATCTTCTCATTGTAGACTTCCAAAAGGCTCATCTCTACATGGCATTTCACCTGATAACCCCAAAAACCTGATAATCAGTTGTGTAAAAAAAAAAACTAGAAAAAAATATTTCTCATGAACACAAATGAATGTTTTAAAATGTATTTTTAAGACATTTTCTTACAAATAAAATGTTTTTAACAGGGATACAATCATTCAAATAGAGAGTTTACCTCTTCGTTTTCCATAGATGCCAATCTAGAAAACAGCTCCTGACAGAATCGTGGAATGACGCCTTCCTCCTCTCCAAAACCCATCATCCTACAGAACAATGTTTTCAAATAAATGAAATGGACAATTTGACTGACAACTTTAAAAACACAAGAGAACACATTAAGAGCAACGAAATTGAGGAGAGCGTAGGGAATAGGTTTCAGTGGTGCAAGGTTGACTGTTAGAAACAAAGACAAAAAATACTCGCGTGTACGACTTCCCGGAGCCCGTTTGTCCGTAAGCAAACAGACAGGTGTTGAACCCTTCAAAGAAGAAGAAGAAGAAGAATAGGGATAAACCCTCTTTAATGGTCACACATGCAGAGCACACAGCACACACAGTGAAATTTGGCCTCTGCTTTTAACCCATCCTAGTACAAGGAGTCTAGTACTAGGAGCAGTGGGCAGCTATTGTACAGCGCCCGGGGAGCAATGGGAGTGGGGGGGAAGGGGGGTGTCCGGTGCCTTGCTCAAGGGCACCACGGCAGGGCAGGAGGTGAACTGGGACCTCTCCAAGTAGAAGTCCACACTCCATATTTAGGTCTGGTCGGGGACTTGAACCAGCGACCCTACGGCTCCCAGTCCAAGCCCCTACTGACTGAGCCACTGCCGGACTACTGACTGAGCCACTGCCGGACTAAAAGGCCCTCAGCAGCAGAGGTTTAGCCAGCGTCTTGTACACGGTCTGCTGGCTGGCGAAGGTGGGGTCACAGTCATCCACTGAGCAGAAGGAGAAGTTGTATTGCTGTTTGTTGCCAGGATGCTGGACAGCAGTCTCCTGACCGTTCATGAAGATGACCTGCAAGGCCTTCTCTGCCTTTTCCCTAAAACAGAGCAAAGATATTTATGAATGTTCTTTCAGAAATAGATTTTGTCTGCCAGAAAGAGTATGTTCCTGATTATTAATTAATTATATTAATATTAATTAATGATACAAAAACATATGCCAACGTTTTTGTCATAAATGGGCGATTTGATTAGTGTCATTTGTTAATCCCCTTTATGATTCTGAAAGGGTAATACAATTCACTGTGTTTCTTGTCTAGACTTGATGTCACTGCTGGCTAAACCTACACTTAAGTTTATCATGATTAGTTAAATTAGCCAGATGACACCTTCAGAAAGCCCAGCAGTGACTTCTGGAGACCCAGACTCTAAACGCTGACAGACATGACTCCTTAACTTAGCCACTACACGGTCGGCCTCGGCCACGCTCGGTACGGCTTGGCCGCGTTGGGCCTTAACAGGGCCGACTCACTTCATGCTGCGCTTCCATTACAGTTTAGGAACTGGGATAGTTACTATAGTAACGCAGTGTAGGCGGAGCCGTGACGTCATCTTCAATGAGAACTCCAGAAAACACAACACAGCCGTTAGCTGTTAGCACTCAGAGCTCACAGCTCCTTATATATGTTCAGAAACTCGACAAAAGTTAAACAAGTACACACCACAGACTGCCTGTGTCATGGTGAATACAGTCGCTGCTTTATTTATGTCTGTATAGGCCGTTGTTGTGAGTGTGGACGGTCGGGGCATATACTGCGTTAGCTTAGCCAATCTCCATCTAGAAAAACACGAATTTTAAAAGGTTTTTTCGCCTGCCGTCTGTCTGCAGACTTGACAAAGCATTAATTCATGGTTTTTACTAACCGGTATCAGTATGTTGTTACTTCGGCATCATTTTGAAACGTGTATTACAATTAAATCACGGTCAAATATGTCCATCTTGTTGTAGTTGGAGCCCTCTTGCCAGCGCTCCTCTCTCTAGTTTAGCATACTCAGCCCGACTCAGCCCTGTTTGTTGGCCCCGATAGAACCACAATTTTGTCGGGCCAGAAAAGAGGTGAAAAAGTGGCCCCGGGCCGGGCCGGGCCGTAACTAGGCCTAGTGGAAGCGCAACCAAAAACGGGTACAGCACGACACGGCACGCTTAAAGCGAGCTCCGCGCTGTAGTGGAACTGCGCCATTTAAATACTGCGTCACAAACCTGGCATTGAAAGGTCGTACACAGGTGGTGAAATAGTTTGAGTAAAGATACAACTGGTAACTACTGGGATGGTGGATACACAGGGATGGTGTAGATGAACATTGAGAGTAGATTAAGTTGTTTTTGTTTTTCATGCTTTTCAAAGAAAGTAATTTGAACTTTATTTGGGTAAATACACCGGAAGTAGGTTTATGAACCGGAAGTATTAGTTGATACATTTGAAAGGAGTTAAAAATAAAACAGCTCCCCTAGCGGACATAAGTGTTACAGTCAATACATTCTTCACCACACACAGATAAAGATTACATGTGGTTTCTCTGAATTGAAGTATTGTAGTTATGACATTTGCATAATTTCATAAACTTCAGAATACACTGTACACAGTTTATTTGAATTTTCATATTTTAAAGGTCAAAACCATACACTGTACATTTTTTATTTTTTACTTTTCTGATTTTAAAATTTGCATAATTTCTAATTTACTTTATTAATTTTTTATTAAAAACTTAAAAAACTTAAAAAAAAAAAAAAGAAAAAAAGAATCCCAGATATTGAAGTTAAGTTCGGATGACATAGGATATTTTTTATCAGGACAGAAGGTACTATTCAGTAGATTAGTGATTCATCTTTGATACATTTAATAACTATATCCAACTACTTGTTGGAATATACTAGTGAAATATGTCACTAAATGACACTAAGTTAAGAGCATTCTCAATGCCAGGCTCAACTGCAGATATTAAGGAGAGGGTAAACATCAGGTCAGATGCTATGACAGCGCCAAAAGATAGACAGAAGACATGGAACAGAATAGAGAAACTGTTCGAGCAGTGGCAAACGAGAGGATTGATTCCAGCAGATGATAAACCTGGACCAACGAAAGCCCATAGAAAAACAGTAGTTGAATATGAGAATGGAGAATACCTACAACAGCAAGAGGCATGGATCAAAGCTGGACGACCCTCGTGGTATGGACCTGGAAAAAGTGCTATGAACAAAGCTGAAGAAAGAAAAGCTAGAGTTACAAGTCTGATACTCCATCTAAAATATGCCAGCCAGGGATTGACAACAAGCTTACATTTGGTAGAAGCAGCAGATCTGCCAGTAAATGAAGACACAGCAGAAATAACAGAAGAGGCTCCAGTTATCCAAACTCCAAAGCAGTATCCAAGCCTGACCGAAGTGCCTCCTCCCGACATATCAGAGAACAACCCTTCTCACCAAGCATCAATTCAAGCCCCAAATGTGAAAGAATTGGCGTTTGAGGTAAGAATCCTATCCAGGGTCAACCGGCTGATGGAAGCAGAACTCATCAGAGAGGAAGAGTTCAAAAGAAGAATGGAAGCAGAACACATCAGAGAGGAAGAGTTCAAAAGAAGAATGGAAGCAGAACACATCAGAGAGGAAGAGTTCAACAGAAGAATGGAAGCAGAACTCATCAGAATGGAAGCAGAACTCATCAAAAGAATGGAAGAAAGACAAAGACAAGAACAAGAAGAAAGGAAAATATGGGAAAAAGAGCAAGAAGAGAAAAATTACCAAACTGGTTGCTCTCCTGAACCAACACATTCTGCAGATGAAAGATTCCAAGAAATTAAGGAAGAAAGAAAACGACAAATAACTAAAAAATGGGGAGAATCTCAAACAAAACGCCGAAGAAATTACTCTCCTGACAAAGACTATTCCAAAGGAGATGAAGATGAAGATGACGACGGCAGTACACAGTTTGTAACCAGTAGACACTCCCCATACCAAGAACAGTTACACCAACGAAGCAGTATTGTATCTTCCCCAGAGAACAGTAGTAGTGACGAAATCGAGCAACAGCACCCTGACACATGCCCCAAACCTGTAAGAACCAAGACCCGTGTTCACACCTCCATGCCATTGATAGCGGCTGGAAGAGGAGGATTTGACTACCAACCATGGACACACAGGGACATGGAGTCGTTAGTGGCAAAGCTACCGCCACTCACCCAAGGAGGACAGAAGTGGGTGAATGATCTGGAGAAATATACTGTCCAAGACCACCTGTGCCTGGGAGACATAAGGGCACTGCTTGGACGGATAGAAGGAAGACTAGAGGCAAGAGCAGTAGATTCCAAGGCCAAATGCACCAACTCTCCAGATGACATTTCGTTCAACCAAATCAGGTCGAGGTATTGGGCTGCTATTCGTAGCATCTACCCAACAACACGCAGTTTACAAGCCCTCAACAGCCTGAGAAAAGAACCGGGGGAACACATGCATGCGTTCCTGAAGAGATGTGAAGGACTGTGGGAGGACTGCACTGGAGAACGACATGACGCTTCTCCGGCTGTCATAATGTTGTGGAAGAATGCGGTCATTAACGCCCTTCCTAAATCAGTCCAGGAACGCCTAAGAGACGTGGTGGGACTAGAAGTGAAACCCCCAGAAGAATGGAGACTACATCTCATTCACCATGACACTAAACATCAGGAATTAAAGGAGGAAGATGATGAAGATACAAGAAAACTAGCAAAAAGACTTTTGAAGATGCAAGTAGCTGAGAGAGATGCCGAAGCTCATAAAAACAGGAAATCGACAAAGCAGATGGCCATACTAGCAGAGAAGGCAGGGCGAACACCTCCAACAGTTCAAACTCAGGAAGAACCAGAGAATCAAATGCAGAACCAACAAAGCGGAGGAAGAAGTCTCCAAAATGGTGGCTGCTACACATGTGGTCAGACGTCACATTGGTCCAATGAATGTCCCACACAACTCCAGCAACAGCAAGCACCTGTGTATCTTCCTACCCAAGTACAGCCACAAGCACCACAGTATCTTCAACAGCAAACACCTGTGTATCTTCCTACCCAAGTACAGCCACAAGCACCACAGTATCTTCAACAGCAAACACCTGTGTATCTTCCTACCCAAGTACAGCCACAAGCACCACAGTATCTTCAACAGCAAACACCTGTGTATCTTCCTACCCAAGTACAGCCACAAGCACCACAGTATTTTCAACAGCAAACACCTGCATATCCTCTTACCCAAGTACAGCCGCAAGCACAGGTATACCCTCCCATACAACAAAAGGGACAATGGAGAGGAAAGCAACGATCAAGAGGGAGAAGGATTGATGGCTGCTTCATATGTGGTGAT